GTTTGAAGCTTTTTTACCTTTTTTCCAAACAAATTTTAATGATATTACAGTGTATTTGGGGGATTTTTAAGACACACAACAGCTTGTGAAGTCACCCCCTTGTCAATCCATCTTGTTCATCATGGGTCAGTTTGTCTCTCCTCCAAATCGCACCCCCATTTAGTACCCATGGGTCATCATCCTGTGATGGACTTGCGACCTGTCCAGGGTGTACCCCGCCCCTCACACTGTGACTGCTGGATATGGGCACCAGTGACCCACGCAACCCTGAAAAGGAAGAAGCGTGTACAGAAAATGGATGGATGGATGATGGACCAGGAGGATTCAGATTACTTTATTCGTCTTTGCACTGTTAAGCACAATGAAAATACAGTTTGGAACAGCCCATCCAAGAGAGAGACAAATACCAATAATCATGGGAGAACAGGTGCCCGGGTCCTTACCCTTAATCCTGCCAAACTGGTGACCTTTCCTCTTTTATCCCCATTTTCGTCTCGGGCTGTTGCATCATTTTCTCCCTTCATGTTTCTCCCTTCATGCTCTTTTTAATGGTGGTGAAACATGAAGCTGCTACATGTTACTCAACAGGTTGTAGCCAGTTTACCCAACAGAGTGAGTTGATGCGACCAGCCTTGCTTAGCTGGGCTGTGAGAGGTGGAGCAGCTGAAGCGTTTCCTCTGCCTACATCTCCCATAGTTCAGTGACATTAACTTTCTACTGCATGTGTTTTTTGTTATTACTGACCACGTGTTTATCCTGATAGATATGATCGTTTTATTGCTCAGTCCTACTTTAGCCTTTAAAAAGTTATAAAAATGTTTGGGAGCCAGACTTTGAAACCAAAGTAGTGAAACCTGAGTGAGTGTTTAAATAACTTTAGAGGTTCTGTTGCTTGTGATGTATAATTTTTATGTGTCAGAAGTGACGGACGATGTTAACGACTGTTGGTTTGGTATTCTGACTGCTTCTGTTATATATGTCACGTTTATTCTCTCAATTCAACAGTTTCATCAATATTACATACAACACATATTTTTCTGGTAACACTTACTGTACATGAGTGAAAAGAGAGCAGGAAGAAGAAAAACCTTGTAAAAACCTGCTCCTTTTGGTAACACTTTCTTTTACAATACCCTTATTACCATGTAATTACAAGGTAATGAAAAATGTAATTAAAAGGAAATTAGGGTGCAATTATGTAATTAATTGTCTGCAGTAATACAGCACTTACCAGGTAATGTATTACAATTCACTACGTAACACCTAAATAAGTAGTAGGTAATTTGGACAGTTTTAAAGTTATTTTATTCCATCCATCCATCCATCCATCCATCCATTTTCTTCCGCTTATCCGGGGTCGGGTCGCGGGGGCAGCAGCTTCAGAAGGGAGGCCCAGACCTCC